ATATTGCACATTTCAGGCCAAGTCCTTTCCATTAATTAACAGTTTTCTGCAGATGAATCTTCAGATTGAAAGTGATAGTTCAGAATCTAAAGAGACACCGTTAATACTGGAATTTACCCTCACCTCAGGACAAAAAGGATTATGTGTATTTACGTATTAATGAGGTCATCCTGATAAGCACTGAACAGTAACTAGTTGAGCCTGGAATTTATATTTATCTGAACATGTTTGTGCCAAGTTATGGAAGGCACAGTACTTTCCACATCTCTTCTGCACATAACTTTAACAGAAGTCATAAGGTCATGAAAGACAGCTAGTTTCTCTCTCACACACACACACAAGAGTTCTGTTACTGGGAGGGAGGTGGGGAATTTTAGAAACAAGTAAATTACAATTTCATTTAAAAAGAAACTATTTAGGGTCAACTGCTTGGGGTACCAGCATTTGTAAATTTGTAAAGAGATGTATAATATAATTGTAGGATTCTGCACTGCTTGCATAACTCCTCAACACAGTTAACTAAGACAAAAAGCACATGCCAATTGATTATAAAAGGTTGGGACAGCTCCAGTCTCCAAAACCAGCAGACCCCAGATTCGTCCATCCTCTTCCAACCTTAATATGACATCCAAATAATGAGTTGAATTTCCTCTCTTTAGAGGTGTAAAAGACACAAAAAGAGAAAAAACACATATAACAAGAGCTCCACAATATAACACACACATTAGAGATAGAGTATTTTTATTATATTTAAAAAAGCTGTCAAAAACATCCAGAAGGCTTTGGACAGAACAAAATTGAAAACAATGTTGAAATATATAATATATGAAAGGGTATACAGAATCCATTTGAGCTCTGGTACCAAAGGTAAGAATGATTGGTTTTTAACCCCAAACATTTAAATTAAAATCTTTAATTGCTTTCACAAGAAAGATATGAAAATCCACATAGCACTGTGACACACTGCGATCAGGAGAGTGAAAAGGAAGTTTTTTGAAACTGAAATTGTTTGCAACTTGAAATTCTGAAGAACTTTCCCTCAAGTTGCACCCTTCAACAGACAGACTGGGAGAACTCCTCAGAGCCGAAACTTACAGTTAAAATAAGCCCTCAAATTGTGAATCACTGTAACAAGTCAATCAGGTTTCAGACCAAATAAATTACAACAAAAATATTACAAACGCTTAAACATTATGAAAGAAAAAGACTCACCACCTGATATTGAGCAAGTAGCAACTGCAGGACTTCTCTCCCTGAGACGGTTAACCAAACTAGCAGATATCAGAAACACCTGTAGAACCCCTTATTGGACCCTTCAAACTGCCCACCCCCTCCCTGCTGGTAGTGAAAGAAAGCAGTGGTGACCGAATAGGGTCATGGTGCAGCAGGTGCTCTAAATCTGGAAAACTAGGAATTAAAATGGTAATTGATCCAATGAACCCTAAGGTGGGTCAACCTAACTCAGTGGTTCTCAGCCTTGGTTCTAAAAGACCCAGGTGTTTGCTGGTTTCCAATCGGGAGCTCAATCACCAGTGCTAATTGCTGCCAGTACCTGATCTGCTTGCATGCTTAGAGTTTTTTTTTTCCCCCAGGACTCAGGCCTTGGTTTAAAAAATACCCCTGTACAGCACAACCCCTCTGTCTTCTGGTTTCGGCTACAGCCCACTTCCTAATCACAGGCTCATTTATTTCAAATGGCAGCTCGAGGCTTTACATTTTTCAGCTCGAAAATATTTATATTTTTCAGTTAGAGGAAATTTGTAACTGGTATGAACAAACCCAGTGCTAATTTATTGATGTTCAGGACCAGCCTCATCAAGCGTACCTGCTGTAGCATAACCAACAGACTGCAGCAGAAGGAAAGATAGTAACTCACGATGGGATTAATCAGACAGTGTCACTCCCACCTGTGTCTGTTCATCATCAATTGATCATCTGCTAAGAGCCGTTTAGTCAGAAATAATTCTGAACTAGCAAGTTGAGGCGAGACAGCATAAGGATCTGCATACGTCCACCAAGCTGCATCACACTGCACATCCCTGCCAAGAAGTGTCAGGTCTGCTTATCTGGCTTCCACATTAACGAAAGCAGCCATACTGTTCGTACCTCTGAAACTATCATTAGCCTGTTTTAATTTTCGGCGTTCCATGCAAACATTTGCTGCCGTTGTCGTTAGGTCTGGTGTTTTACCTCTGAATCAGCGCACAGTCCTCGTCCTGGAGGGCCGCGGTGTCTGTTTTCAGTCCAGCTCTGCTGGTTGTTCGCTCAATGGGCCGAGGAGGACTGTGGCGCTCTGAAGATAAGGGTTCTGCGTCAAGCCTGCCAGAAAAATAATGAATTCACGGGGCATTTCTGAGGAGGGAGAAAAACAAAACTCAAGCAGCCATAGCAAGGTGAGATCCATACATCACTTTTATTTTTTTTAAAAAGGTGGATTTATCACTCGTTGACTGGAACGGACTTCGACTCTGTTGAGCACCTGTGGGGAAATCCCTTTGACAAATGTTCTCACAGTATATCTACAGCCATACTGTACGTGTGAAGGGTTT